AGTTGTCCTTATTATGTGCATTCACCCATGCATAACATGATAATAATAATCTGTACAACTATGCCGGACTTTGGACCCATCCCGTTAGTAGAAGCAATATTACCTGAGACCCTGGTAGAAGGCATTGTCCTTTTCTATAGCCCAGGGTGATATCCATTTTGTAATGGGGCTCCTTGCACTCGCTACCCCAAGAGTACTGTGCTGGGCACCCAGGCTACTTTTCTCAGGATGGTGGGCAAAATGGCTTCTGTAAAAATTCTTCCTCAAAGCGTATAGGTGGGAAAATATTTACTCCTCTTTTGTGAAAGATGAGAAAATATTGTGTAACAGAAATATTTAAAGATCATGAGGCAGAAGAGACTTCTTTCCTTAGTAGATATAAGAAGGATTAGTATTTGTGAAGGATGTACTAGATGGAAGGAAGTGTATTCAATATCAAATCCAATGTCCAAATCCTTCATTCAAATTTTCGAAAGCATTGCATGTGTTCCAGTTATTAGAACTTATGGAAGCCGGAGTGATAACCGTTACAACCCTGTGTGATGAACACCAGTATCTGTATAGCCGGTATATTAACCACCTTTCGGCGTAACACACCAGCTTCTGTATCGGTATAGCCGGTATAACCGCCCTTCGGCATAACACACCAGCTTCGCAGGCACGCGGTGCGGCGGCAGCTGGCTACTGTTACACCGATCGACTTGTTACACGTAACCCTTGAACATCTAACTCTAGACTTTGTTTACTTTAAAGCTATCTAGTGACAATGCCCCTACTGTACTTGGTGACAGCGAGTTGCACTCTGTGATACAATGTAGTTCTAGTACTTGAAGGCATGGCTATTTCTTGTTCTCTTCTAGGCTGGTTTTAGGTACTTAGTAATTGGGACGTCCACCAGTTAATTAGTCATTTTGGACATTTTTCTTCTGTCTTCCAGTGACACCCACTGTAGGTTACTTTTCATTTCCGTGACACTAGCACCTCTTTCATAGTTGTTCATGCAGAATCTTGCAGCTTGATTCTGTACCCTTTCCAGTTTATCTTCGTCTTTCTCATATGTGTATATGGATCCCATACTGTCACGACATATTCTAGGTTCTGTCTTACAAGTGACGTGTTTGCAAGAGTGATTTTACTCTAGTTGGGCATGCCTGCAGATTACGTTTGATCACTCCCAATGTCTGTTTAGCCTTAGTTGTGATATTACTAACATGTGCACCCCACTTCAGACTATCTTGACTTGCCCTGTGTTGGGGTCATTGAAGTAACCTGATACTTTTTGGTAATCTTCTGTGAAGTCTTAATCTAGTGAAATACAGGGATGGAGGCAGTCATTGTAACAGGCTTGAAACAAAGTCTTGTTACATCTCCTTAGCAGGAATGTTAAACTTTATTTTTGGAAAGATGGGATCATGCAGAATGCCAGACACAATACAGCAAGACTACAATATTATGTATGAAGATATTCCAGCAGTGGTGTCTGAAAGTACTTACTCCAAAAGTAGGTCAACACAATGTCAATTATCTGTGACAGTTATTGTCCAGAATCCTGATACAATCAAGGAAAAATATCTCAAACATTTCTTTACCACTTATCGAATATACAATGGAAAGTTAATTACACCATATTGACTTTGACAAGCAGTCCAATATTTGTAATTAAGACAAGAATTAGTGCTCAGTGTGAGTGCAACCCACTAGTAACACAAAAAGTTATAAAAAAAGCTACAAATGTAGAAAAGACTGCACTGTCGTTTCTGAATGCCATTATCAAGTGAGGCAAAAAGAAACAAGCTTTCTGAAACAGTTACAAAATGTACCACAATATAGTGTTCATGTTCAACACTGTTCTAATTTAGCTTATACTATAGATTGCAGAAAAGACTCAAGTTGTAAGATTTTATAATAGGAAACTCTATACTAGTATTGTTTTCTTTCATTTCTGACTAATTAAAGCAATTTTTGAATGATTTGCAAAGTAACCTATTCCCAGGGACCTAAAGGTCAGTAGTTTTCCAAATGTTTCAAGTAACAGATGGAAAATTATATCACGGGGTGACATTTTCTTTCGAGAATTTTGTACTGCACATTTTCTGACATATTTCCAGGAAATAAATCTTTTCATGCGCAAATTTTTCGCACGCAAATTTTCTTGTACAAATTTTTCACGCGCAGAAAACCTGTTCCCTATACATGTGTGACAGTCAATGTATTCATTTGAGAGCTGAAATTTTACTTGCATTGTTAGAGTATTGTTACCTCCATCAAGGAGGTTAATATGATTTTAGTAGAGTTGTAGAATGTTATATCCGAAAAGGTTAGGGTACGGGAAAAGCAACAACACCAAAGGCGGCACAAAATCAGCTGCACAAAGGGAAGTGGGTGGCTTAACAAAAATTCTAGCAAATACAGCAGCAAATCACAGGACAACAACTTGGCGTACAATCCGGTGTGGGAACCAGTGTAGATTTTAGGGAATCAGTGTAACTTTAGGCGTTAATCTTACTTCGTGTCTATCTGTCTAGCTAGTTAACCGCTAAAGATAAAAGACACAGAGCCGGGTCGATTTCGATTGTACGGATTGCTATATTGTGATCTGCTGTATATACAATGTACACAAGTCAATGGTCTAGTCTTATTACAATGGTCTAGGTTCGGATCTAAGTTACTGGAGTGGAAATCTACAAGCTAGGAGCTAATACAGAGTGTGTGTGACTAACCTGAGGTCCCGGTCTCGAACTAATTCAAAAGGGAGCGGGCTAATATCTAATCCTGACGCTGACTGCTCTCACCAGTCATTGGCTAATCTAATGAGTATGTAAATGAACTAAAAAGCTGGAGATCTAAATATGGCCACTAAGCACTACGTCATAAGTCACTACGTCACGGGAACCATAAATCACTAACTGACTGATCAGGGCTGTTACAGAGTTAGTTTGTTTTTCTGTGACTGTCTTTTTATGTCTTTTCACTTAACATGAAGTCTACTGATGAGGACTTTTGTGCTAACAGTGCCATACATTGAACAAAAATCTACCAACAACCAACGTCGCCATGGCAATGTATTTTTACATTGACAGCAATGTTCTGAAAAAATCCGAGAACCAGAACAAACAAAAAAATATCAACTGGTAATCGTCATGTGGTCATGAACCTGTTATACATTGTAATATTGTTGGTCCTTTGCAACCATTTCTGCATTTTTACATTTTCTGAATTTTTACGTTTACATCCGAACTTTCAAGTCTGGAACTGAACCTAAACCTCTGGACTTGAATCCGGACCTGGGTACCCCTAAAGTGGGTTTAGGTACACAGCACTAATGTTTTCTCACTGGTTACTCTCTAACTAGCTGTAGCAAGCTCTTTAATGTGTTTAGTTTAGGTCAATCAGCCTGACAATATTGTACAACCCTAGAGAATACTAAATTGCAGTTCATGCCATGGGTTGCTCAGAAAGTGATTTTTTGTTACCAAATCAACTTGGAAATGGTACTCAAATATATAATTTATATTTATTGTACCTTCATGAAACATCAACATTTTGCAGAATTTGAGATGCACTAAGATATGGATGACCAGTTGGAAGTCATCATGTTATGATTCATCGGCATGGTAGAGCTTTCTGGTAGGTGCATGCCTGATAATAAACTACTTTTTTTCTGAGATACAACTTTTTTTTTGACGTGAATTATAGTTGTGCATGTATGACATCTTAATGTGAGCATTGTGATTGCTGGCTAATACTAGTACGTGTACCTAGATGCAAAGTACATTCTGATCATGGCTTATTCAAAATGGGTGAGAATGAGGAGGGGAAGTGATATGTATAATTTATAGTATAAACAGAAGAGAGTTCAGAGATCTCATACCTCCATGAAATAAGTGCTTTTGAAAACACTGATTTGAAGTGAAAAGGCTAATAATAGACTACATTGTAAATACTAGTAGTTCAGGTAATATGTACTACTAAAATATATGTATTACTAGTAGGGAAAAAGACAACAGAATGCAAGTGTCTAATAGATGTACAAATGTACATGCATGTACCATTATATGCAAAACCAGAACAAATCCAGCTACATTTCTTTTGATAAGGCCACACCAATTCAATTTGTTGCTTCTAAGAAGTCAGATTTTTCAAGTTTTGCAAACAGTCTGAACTTACATAACATCAAGAATAACAGGTTTATGCAAGTTTCAGCTTTCCTGGCAAAGTCTTATGCATTGAATCCCTTCCTTTGATCTATTAACTAGGATTCTGAATAAAGGACATCATTTTTCATCATCATCATCATTACCACTTTTACAGGTTTTTGTGTTAGTTCTCAACTCTGGACATAATCTTTTGGAGTTCCCATATTGGAATGCATCTGATGAATAATTATGCAAATTAGTCACTGAATATGTTTATCATCAACTAAGCAACCTACGCACCAAAAATCAAGACAATATATCAACCCTTCTCAAGTTATCGTCTTTCAAGTATTTTACAAAAGCTGCCACTGCAGTTCAATAACATTAGCCACTAGGCGGCCCAAACCTACGTCACTTACTCTAACTGTCTAACATGTACTCTCTGTCCACCAAAGAACTACCTACCAGCCTAAAATGATGACCCTTAACTTATGGCATGTGTGTACAGATCGCGAGATATTAAAACTGGAAGTTTCGCTGCAGTACCATAAAAAGCTGCTAGGGGGCCCAAAATCTAATTACATGTATTTTTTTCCTTTCATCGGCACCTAACCACATACCAAATGCCAAATGTGATTAGGATCCATTGACGCCTTCTCAGTTATGCTGGAAACACACACACACACACACACACACACAGACAGGCGGACAGACAGACACACAGCACCAAAAATATAACCTTCTTCTTGTGAAGGTAATTTTTATTATGACTTTGTATTATTATAGGAATTATTTCCTTTTAGATTTAGGAATCATGTCCCATGCAATGACTATACCCGTGTAAATGTATGTCTCTCTTTTCAGTCCTTGGACTGCTAGGACGGACTGTTGTGGCAGTTGTGGCTTTCATCTGGACTCTGAGAGGAACACTTTTGGCTCATGACCATGATCGTTCAAGTGTGAAACAAGTGTTTGTTCAGAAGGCTGACATAAAGTTGAACCCGACAATTTCATGCATCTTGCCTAATGGAGCAACAGTGGAACTTGTGTATAAACCTCAGAGGAAGGTGAAATTTGTCACAAGAGATGCAATAAGGGAATATCAAGTCAGAAAGTTATCCACAAAGGACCAGAACTACCAGCTTGTACACGAAGGATGGTGTCTCCCAGAAAATGCTACACTTGTGGATTGCGCTGTTTGGGGCAATAGCACTGTAATATTGAAGGAACACATACGTGGAGGTCGACCTGAAACACTTGTAGGTTTACAAAACACATGCAGATCTCACCCAGGAGTTTTCTCATGTGCTATTGATTCCTTCTTGGATTTGTTTCACTTCAGCGTTTTCAGACAGTTTCCAGATTTTCAGTGTTCAAACAACCTTGGACCTTTCCTCTCCAAGGTTTTATGGAGCTGCAAAGAAAGAGCTAGAGCTCAAACGCCAAAGGCAGTGCAAGACACACGTGAACACACATGGACATGGGTGAGGCAAAATGTACGGTCTTTTGCAGGAGGCACTGCTGATGCATGTGTTGACGAGTTATTTGACCATGTCACTGTCACCCAATGGGAAAGGAACGCCTTTGCTTTGGCCAAGACAGTGTCCAGAACATGTATAAACTGTAACCAGACCAAAGAAGATACGAGATACCATTGCCCGATCTTGCTACATTCTAGCATGTTTCAACAACAAATGAGCATGCAGGAAGTCATAAAAAGCAATTTCCTTGACATCAAAAACAGTCCAGGATATTGTTCAAGTTGTGGCCTACGAAGTGTAGTGAGCACATTAAAAGACATCAACCTTCCTGAATATCTTTTTGTTGAGGTGCCATTCTTACCCCAAGGGGGAAGAAATGACAACCTCTGTGGTGTTGAAATTGAACACAGGATGACATTGAACAGACAGACATATACTATCATGGGTGGCATCAGAGCAAAACCAGGGCACTTTACTTCAATTGTGTGTAAAGGGGGGCAGCTATATGAGCTTGACGACTTGTACAATGGGCATGTTAAAGAAGGACATAATCTATCCAGCCTCTTTGGTCAAACAGGAAAAACATACAAAACAGAGCCTGGTAACTTCCTACACATGGTTGTTTACAAACAAGATTCAACCGGCCAGATGCATGGGGAGATGGACGGTGTCAGTCTCAAGAATGAGACAACAAGACCTCCACTCGCTCCGTTGGAAAATCTAAAAGAATATTACCACTCTCCATCTAAAAGAAAAAATGTAGGACCCCCTGCCCATCACAAGCGGGAAAAAATATCTAAAGTAAATGCAGCTTTGTCTAGAGACACTTTTAATGTAACAATTGTTTCAGGAATGGACAAATGCCCAAAGACAGGACAGCTTTGTGATGGAAAGTATATGGTACAAGAAGCAAACCACTGTTTTGATGAAAAAAAGAATGAGCTTGAGAAAACTAAAGGATCTCAAGTCCCTTTGGCAAACTGCCTTGTTGACAGAAAAAAAAATCAAGGAGCAAGTGCGAAAAAATCCCCACCGATATCATCAACAATGATTGAAATGGAAAGGCATGTGCAAGTCAGCAAGAAAAACTGTACCAAAGGAAGTATGGGAGCTGCGTGTGATACTGAAATCAAGGTCAAAACAAAAAAGCCTGAACTGGAAAAAGGTGATTCCAAGAAATTGTCAGTGTGTCCACAAAATACATTTATAATGTCTGGATTTATTGATCTTGGACTCCTGAGTGATCACGAAGTAAGCTTTCAATATTGGGCAAAATCTGATAATGAGCTGTATTTTAGTTTTGTCAACACGTTGGAAGTTTTGGGGTTAACCAAAGATATAAAAGTGAAAAAACGTGGCTACAAAAGAATTTACAACCATATTGACAGTTGTGGGCTAGACCATGGCAAAGAAATTGTCATTATCAAGATGAATGATGGGACATCTATCAAAGCGGTGTCTTTTGAAGGTTTTATTTGTTTACTTTCATTGCCACCTAAAATGTTTGACCAAGTTTCAGTTGTTAATAGTGTTAAAAAGTATTTTACATCAATATTGAAAGAAAAGCTACTAGCCAAAGTTTTATGTTCAAAGTCTTTAAAGCATAAAAAGACAACACAGCAAAGTCGACAAACCCAGACAGCAAATAACAACCCATTTCTGGGATCTTCGCTGAAACCAACATCATGCTTTATTTCTGATATTGATAAAAAAAAGAAAGAAGGAAAATCTGGACGCTGTAGTACAACTGAAACCCGACTAAGGGAACACCAAAAAATGAACAAGTTGATAGCTGAAACAATTCACTTTGGCTCCAAAGAGGACTTCCTACAGGCAATTGCATATGACATATCAACTAATATAGGGAAGGGCTCAAAAGCATGGCAAGGGGCGTTATGTTTGGAAGACATTGAGTACATACTGGAATTAGTAACTACGAAAAAGTCTCAAGATACAGTCTTGGAAACAATGTCAAAACATTTCATTACAAAAAATGTGCACTACGTAAATTCACAGGAACTGATTTATTTGGCTGACAATTTCAAGGGTTATGACCTTTTCAGCAAGTTACGAGAAAAGGTACCTTTCCTTTTCGCATCCCGAAAGGAGGTTGATCTATGCAAGAAATCCTATAAAAGTGAATTTCAAACAATTTTTTGTCCTGAGCGAACGGCTACAGGTTGGAAAATTTGCCCCAAGCGACTTCTAGAATGTTTGTCCTTTTTATATTATTGGCTCCCAAAGACAACTCAAAACTGGAAAGTATATGGCGATGCAAGAAATTATGGAAGAAAAGCAACAGTTATGCTGGGTGTCAATAATGTTGACAATCATCAAATTCTTAATGGTATCAAATATCATAGTCCAAAACATTTTTGGCCCTTTCAAGTTTTTTATGGAAAAGATAATCGAATTAACCTTGAAACCAATGTGGGTGATGGGCACGGTGGCCCAGGCTATCTTGACAAGATTATTTTCGACATGCAAAACAACAGTGATTACCGCTTTTACTTGACGGGAGACTCCCCTTTTCTGGATGCCGTATTGGCAGAAAAAGGCCTTGGTGGTACCACGGACGATGGTTACAATATTTACATGTATGACAAGAAAGATAACAAAGGTGAAGTCTGCCCACACACAAAGCTTAGGTCACATCTAGCAAAAGCCATCAACAGACAACACCCAACATCACTGTTGCCATCTATACCCATTGAAAGAGTTGTATTCGATATTGATCATGCTGTAACAAGAATTGTAGAAAAACTGTTAACCCTTCGAATAATGAAATCAGTTCAGTTAACTAGTATTATAAAAGGAGATGAAGGTGTCCAGCGCCGCAATGCTAGCCTAGCACATTTGCAAGCAAACTTAAACACACGGGGGGTAAAATCAGGATCATTTCACATAGACCTCGAGACTAATGGATCCTTGAAATATCCTATATCTTTAAATAAAACTGATGCTTGTGTAACAATATGTCCCCCAGAATTTTTTGAAGACCCATTCATGCCCATTTTACAAGGAGTTGCTTCAACTCAGCCAATTCCAAATACATTACCAACACAACTTAGAGAAGTATCAGAAATTACCTCAGCCATGACATGTGAACTGGAAATCGAAACTAAGCTGTATTACCACATGGGAATGATGTATATGTACTTAAGAAACGATGCCAACCCAAGAAAGATACTTGAAACACAAGCACATGAAGGCAATAACACAGCAGCACATGAAGGCAATAACACAGCAGCACATGAAGGCAATAACACAGCAGCACATGAAGGCAATAACACAGCAGCACATGAAGGCAATAACACAGCAGCACATGAAGGCAATAACACAGCAGCACATGAAGGCAATAACACAGCAGCACATGAAGGCAATAACACAGCAGCACATGAAGGCAATAACACAGCAGCACATGAAGGCAATAACACAGCAGCACATGAAGACGAAAAAGTCGGCCTCTCTGATGATGAAGTAGCTAAGTACCGGACACATGCGGATGCTTTCCATGGACTTTTCTGTCACTTGTACGGAGGACCAGAACTTACACCATACATGATGAAGATGATCGATGTGGTACCACTGTTGTTACAAAAATTACCTTGCCGGTCTATGATGAGGTTTTCAACGGAAGGACCGGAACATGTCCACTATATGCACATGTGCTTCTATTATTCACATACACCCCGAGGTGGTGGAAGAGGAAAACCAGATACTATATTAATGTTATTTGAATGGATTTGGAGGAATTTGCATTATCTTATTGGCACCTACAAGAATTCAGAAGACACTGAAGCAGTAAAAGCATTTGTGAACTTTGAAAAGTATGTAAAGCTCCATATGTTCTGGAATCAGTTTATTGCTAAATGCAGAGGATACATACAACGTCAAGTAATTCTTCCAAGAATGAAAAAGCAAAGGGAGGTTAACCAGCAGCAGAGTCCCCCAGCTCAGAAACCTTTGGCAAACCATACTTTTTTCCTTAGTGGAAGAATTCCGTCAAATTGTGGTAAGAAACAGGACCTCTGTACCAAGATTAGGGAAAATGGGGGCAGAGTAATAGAAAGAATACCCCCCCAAGGAATTTCAATAGATGTAACAATTTTTAACAACTCAAAATGAAGTTGATAGAGGAACTGAACGATTGAATAATAGCAGATTAGCAAATCAGAAATCAAGAACTCGACAACCAAATGATGCAATAGTAAAAGCTTTTCGGAGGAAATGGAACATACTCTCCTTCCAATATGCGCAAGACTGCATCAACCATAAGACCATGTTGGACAAAAGCAAGTACCTCCTGAATATGGATTCATTGCGAAAAGCACCCTCTACATGCTTGGCAAGTGTTGAAGAGATATCACCTGAATCATTGTATTTCGGGTGAGTATAGCATTGCCTTTGCTAGTACATGTAGTAAAACATGTAGCAGTGTGTGTGTGCATTTACATGACATTGTACTATGTATACAATTAATAAAAAAGATGATGGAAATCTAGGTAGGGGAAATCATTGTCAACATGTTATATCCCTCAAAGTGTGTCAGAAATCTACATGTAGGTATGCCAGACTGTGTAAGAAATTCAGCTTATAAGTTGTATAAAACTCCCTGCTACCTTTAATCCCATTTTATGTTGTATTGTGGAGATAATACCTGACATGGTATGTAATATGACTTACTACCTGGATTTTGGCGATGAAACTCAAATGCCAATCTGATTAATCCTCAGAAAATAATGTTTTTTGTCAACTGGCAATATAAATCTGTTCTTTGCACCTAGGTCTAAGAGAAAGTTGTGATTTATTTTCTTAATGTGTGCATGATATCTATATTTTTGCAGCAAAGGGCGAAGTGCCATCACCCAGCTCCGTAAAAAGATGAAAAAAAACAGGGGAGTAAAAGGTAATTGGACTTCATTAAGTATGACAACACAGTAGTCCACATAATCATTTGCTACTAAGGCCAATACTACTGTAGTATGTGTTCATTTATGGAAAATTGGTATCAATTCCATGCCTTTTGTGAGTAGAAAATAGTTCTTAAATTCCATTTTTTATTGAATATAAAACTGAACTTCTATTTAATTCCTTTGTTTGTTTTACTCAACAGAGGTAGCAGTAAAACGGAAAGGGACCAAACGACTTTCAGTGTGGGGGAGATTTGTGTCAAAAGAATCAGAAAAGCTTAAGGTGAGTAATTTCACATGTCTTGAGTACTATTTTGATAAAGTATGATACATGATACCAGTAATCACAGCCACTCATAATCCAAGTCAAGCGTTTGTTTAGGTTGGGAATGTATATGGTAGACAATTTTTAAATAGATTCTGGATAATTTTGTTGGCATAAAAAAGATTTTGGCTACAGTGTAGTGTGTACCCGTGGGGGACAGACCAAGTGCTGTGTACCCAACCTCGGGGGACTGAAGCCCATAGTCTAATATTGAAGTCTTATCAATAACTCAATAACTAGTAACAGGAATAGGGATGGCTACAGACTACAGTGTACCCGTACGCGTGGGGGACAGACCAAGTGCTGTGTACCCAACCTCGGGGGACTGAAGCCCATAGTCTAATATTGAAGTCTTATCAATAACTCAATAACTAGTAACAGGAATAGGGATGGCTACAGACTACAGTGTACCCGTGGGGGACAGACCAAGTGCTGTGTACCCAACCTCGGGGGACTGAAGCCCATAGTCTAATATTGAAGTCTTATCAATAACTCAATAACTAGTAACAGGAATAGGGATGGCTACAGACTACAGTGTACCCGTGGGGGACAGACCAAGTGCTGTGTACCCAACCTCGGGGGACTGAAGCCCATAGTCTAATATTGACGTCACTGTGAGTCTTATTAATAACTAGTCTAATATCAGTATATACCAGGACAGTCTTGCACACGTCTCAATTTATAGAATTACATCATATTATACTTTACGCATAATACATTCTTTGATTTGATTTTTTCAGGGGTCCACCAAGAAAGGAAACTGCATCACCACTGTCAGAGAACTCTCCAAAAGATGGAAAGCATTGACGTCACAGCAGAAAAGGGATTTCAAGGAGGAAGCAAGGCAATCGTTTAAAAAAAGGCAGGATTTACAAAAATCAACAGAAATTCCTGAAACATCAACTCAGGACCATTCCAACAAATCCCCAGCATATAGAACTGCTATTTCAGGACTTACACCATTAATGCAGCTGTCACCCGATGTAGATTGAATTGGCATACAATTTCCACTCGCCATGACAACTTTCGCCCCGCTATCGTCTGTGGAAATAGAGAATGCCTTTCCCTTCTTGGCAGACTAGGGCAACATGAAAATGACGAACACATTAGGCACGGCACGTCAAAATTTTATTTGTGCATTTCCTTTTCTTCCAATAACATACATATCATCACTGAAGAATATTTATGTGCATATATGTGTAGATAAGATAATATAGCGTGTAAAAATGAATGAATGAAGACCTTTATTGTATGCAAATACCCACTGGGTTCAGTACAGGTCACAGGAAAGACGTCACAGTTTGCAATGAATATATACAATGTACACGCTAGCTCTAATTCTATGTACTATGGACATATAGTCTAATAATTACGATAATTTGGCTTCTTCTCGCTTCTTAGTAATGATGTAGATATAAGTACAGATGTGTTTTATAATCGAAGGTATGTCTAAAACCATCAGAAATATGAACTTATCTGTGTTGCTAAGATGTATGAAATGGGGAAACATACATTGCAATAGTTTATAAAGCTCTGCTCTCTCTTCGTTGTATAAACTACATTCTAATACAAAGTGTTCCTCATCCTCTATCCTATTTAGATTACAATACCTACATATTCGTTGTTCCAGGGGAGTGCGGTTATGCATATATGGCGCCCGGTTTCAATGTAAAAATAGGTAGAACATAACTTAAAACAGGGATATTGTAGTTTGATATACAAGGGGAACCTGGTTGGCCTTTTATACATTTATTTTATGAGTATAGGGTGGTAAATTTGGTGTTTTTAATGTGAACAAAACCAAACATGAAAAAAGAATGGTGATTTATTGCAAAAAAAAAGGAATTTCATGATATATCTAAGCTCTTTGCAATTGAGTAGATGTTACAGTAACTGTACTACATTTTGTAAGTAATCGCCGACAAACATGTCAACTAAATCAATGTACATGTAGCTAATATAGACAAGAGAAATAGTTTATTGTGAGATTGCATGAATTGTTGAATGTGATGTTGAATACTGTAAATGTAAACCATACCTTGAGTAAAAGGGACAAACTGATGTTTTATTATCAATTGAACTTTATTAACTAGGTTGAAGATCGCCAAAACATATTGAAATTGTACAGCATGAAATGTCAAGTTCGTATGCATGTCCCATAAGTGAAGTGCTTTTCCAATGCAGCATGTCATACACTGTCAAGGTGCTATGTTCGATTAAAAGATTAATTCTCGAAATTTTATTTGTGCATTTCCTTTTCCTCTAATTACATACGTATCATCACTGAAGAATATTTATGTGCATATATGTGTAGATAAGATAATATAGCGTGTAAAAATAGGTAGAACATAACTTAAAACAAGGACATTGTAGTTGATATATAAGGGGAACCTGGTTGGCCTTTTATACATTTATTTTATAACTATAGGGTGGTGAATTTGGTGTTTTTAATGTGAACAAAACCAAACATGAAAAAGGGATGGTGATTTATTGCAAAAAAAAGGAATTTCATGATAAGCTCTCTGCAATTGAGTAGATGTTACAGTAACTGTACTAAGTAATCGCCGACAAACATGTCAACTAAATCAATGTACATGTAGCTAATATAGACAAGAGAGTACTAAAAATACTTTATTGTGAGATTGCATGAATTGTTAAATGTGATGTCCTTTAAAAAACTAGGTCTGTAATTTGTTGACAAGCTGCAAAATTGTCAGCCTGTTAGTAGGAGAGGTTTTCAGACAGGCCCTTGCCACTGTCTTTAGGTGACGACCGCTATTTCCGGATCCAGAACACTTCCCAACGTCCTCGATCATCCGCCCCAGGCTGTAGACATCCGAATGGACCGACACGGGTCCCCCCGTAGCCACCTCTGGGGCGATGTGTTTCGACACCTTCTCGCCTGCCTTGATGTCCAATTGGATGGGTCGATCCACGGCGCAGGCCAACCCAAAGTCTATGATCTTTGCGGACAAGTTGTCGCCGTTTCTCTGGACCATCACATTGTCACTCTGTAACAACAAAGAAGGAAGGGGTGTTTTAAGGAGTATAGTTAAAATACCAGAGCATCAGTTCTTATTGCAGTAAGTACAGGTAACAAACAAGCAGGCATTAAAGCCATTAATACAAAACCTACTGTGTACCTAACTAGATATGGCCAACAACACTTGTTCACAGTAAACTAGCTACCACGGCATGACAGCTAAATATTTCAACAAATGCTCCAACATATTGCATCATACAAAGTACCAAAACGATCTGCCATCTCTGTTCCCAAATTACTGTTAACAATGTGCATACAAGATTCTTCTCCCATTTATTCCATTTTATAATCCATCATCCACCTCAAAACGTTTAATTTCAGTGCAATCTGCATTGACACACTGGAACACAAAGCTAATCCCTATGGCAGAAATTTGCCTAAAATGGTGGTGTATTCTACTCGGAAAACGATGTAAAAAGACTACCATTAAATCCCAATGTGCCATAATATCACCACCTTGAGAAACAGTGTGTTTAAAGGTTTACCACAACTTACTAGTACCCTAGCCATGTAGTGCCATGAACAGTACTGTTAAGTTATGCAGAACTACATACCTTAGTAGGGTGAGTGGCTGGAAATATTCCGTTAAACACACTATTTGTATTTCTCAAGGTGGCGATATAATGGAACCTGGTGATTTAATGAAAGGCCACGTTGGATAAGATATAATTACATTGCATTAAAGTCATGTCAGTACCTATACCCACCTTGAGGTCATTGTGCAGAACGTCTGCCAGGTGCAGGTAGTGTATTCCGTGCGCCACCTGTAGCAGCGCCCTGCCGTATTCCCAGCTTTTGATCAGAAGGGTTGCAGGCTCGTTGATGGCGTCCAGCAGTGTGGTGGCTGTGTCCACACCTGGTCTGCAGGAGACAAACTCCTGTACCAGGTATGGCTGTGCCACATCCAGGTTCCACCCAAACAGGGATGGGAACCATGGCCTGTGGCACACCCTGGACAGGAAGTCTGCCTCCTGCACCAGGTCGTCCTTGCACTGCGTGGTGGCTGGAACCACTTTCACTGCCACGAGGCTGTTGTTGACACCTATCATAGGACAAAAAGTGTCGAAGATCTTACAATTGGTCAATTAAAGTTTAGAGATCAGTTTTTATGACTGCCCAAAGGCCATAGTTTGAATGATTAATATGCATGCAATCATGGTTGTGCAACAGTATCATAAGGGCTTTCTCCATGGCACAATATCCCAATATCAATGAAGATTAACACAATGGTCTAATATTCTGTCAACTGAGCATTTTCCTAAAGTCAAATTGCTGATACAAATAGAATTTCAAAAAAATTCTAAATATGGGGCCTTTTTTTTCGGAAGGGAGCTATACTAGCCTGGATATCTTAGGTGTGCATTACTGGAAGAATCTCTGAATACGCATTTGTCTTTTTCCTGAAATACCGGATTTTATTATGGACCCTGGCAATATTATTGATAAAAAAATAATAAAAACGATATTTTCTGATCAGAACTTTGTCATGTGGCGGGGTACTATTGGACAACAGTCGTAGAGCGGAGGGGGGGGGGTGCAAAGTCGGACGAAATGGGCTAAATAAGCAACCCTTTTGTGTTCTAATTATGTACCCTTTTGACACCATGCGCCATGTAAACTCTGACGCCAGGTCCTACTTAATCCATTTGTTTTGCCAATGTGTTTTCCTACTGAGGTTTTTGTTTTGTTATTCCAAGTCCTAACCGCATTTATTCATGGCACTGTCATATAAACCTGACGAGCAGGTTGTGGAACAGGTTATTATTACGTCATGAAATTTGGCCAGGGGGTAATTTGGAAGAGTTCACATTTTATTTTAGACTGTGAGAACACTGCACTCTGACAACATGTTTCATTTTGGACAGAGATAATTTGGGACAATCCATTATGGCGGGAGGGGGACTGGGTCCATTTTCTGCATGGGGGATGTGGTAAAGCCATGCTGTATTTGCTCGCACTATGGTGTTAAATGAATGCATTGGGCAGTACAGATCGAGGGATGGTGACGCACCAAAATTTGTTTACAAAATAAGGTAAAAAAAAAAACATCGCATGTGCCTCCGGTTACAGTCAACAAGACAACTCGATGAAGTTTCTTTTTTCTGACCTGTACCTGGACTCTAAATGTCATCTCTCGCTAAAAACAACAAAATGTGGCTGACGTTATGTTAAGGTACGCCGCCGTTTCTTTAAATTATGTAAACACGAGTTTCCCGCCAAACTCACCACGCTGTGCCGTGGTTTCCCGGTTTACACGGGGGTGAGTGAATAAAAACACAAATTTTTACTATTGAAAGCCCAAATCAGACCAAATGTGCCGATGACAAGGGGGTCGGTTCTCTTTTAATATCATAACGTTATCTGCGATTCATTGTCGACTTTTTTGATAATGATGTGGTCAGTACTAGTCTCCCGGCCTCATCGCACTCCTTACGAGCACTAAAGGGGAAACGGTGCTACGTAATATCAATATGGACACAATGTGTCAATATGACACAAAGTTTACTATGCTTATAAATATGGACAATAGTAAGGTGGCTGGTACTCACTTTTCAGGGTTTTCAAAAAAACCTTCCCAAATCGACCTGCGCCCAGGATGCGCGGGCCGAGGGGCTGGTCAGACAGGTCACTGTCCATTATCTTGGGCAGTCGTGGCAGTGAAGTGGTAGCAGGGCGAGCAGCTGGGCGGGCGGCTTTTTGAAGATCTGCCATCTCGGCTTGAAGCCTCTTCTCTTGGGCTTTCAGCTCATCGGAGTGCTTCAGCTCCAGTTGGCGCAGGTCCTTCTCGTGCCTGACTTTGCTCTTGAGTCCCTCAGCACAGCGTTTCCGCTTTCGGTTTTCGCGCTGTTTTTTCTCTGTTTGGCATCGTGGACGAATGTGAAGAGCAAAAGTGTCTTTCTGAGCCGGGTCCGCTAGCGATTCTAAATGAGCATCACTGCATCAGTTATTTGAATCTGACCGCTCCATTCGGATGTAAATCATGACGTGTTTTGACCAATCGCCTGCGTGAACACAAGTCATGGTACGATTTCAGACGCCCACTTGGCGTCGGTCAGATGGACTTTGCGAAGTTCTCGCCTCTATATGTGTGACCAGCCGCCAGGGGCAATTGGCACAAACGAACACACCTTCAATCCCCTTATTAAGTTATTTTCCAAATTAGAAAGTTTTAATAAAGATATTGTCAAAGCTCTTCTGTTGTTATAAATATTGTCTGACCCTTACGATCCATTTCGTGCGTTAGCAATCTCTTCCGTACTGTGGTTGTGGGGATCAGACGCCGGACATAACATAAAACTCCAGACCCCTATAAAAAGAGGCGCCAAGTGTCCTGGAGGTGCGAAGGTCGTAAATACCAAGATCACACAAGAAAGCACAACAAAGCCGGTGGTGGGCTTTTGAAAAATAACCAGCATTGGGGAATTTGGCACGGTGGCCATGTGTGCTCTATTTGTAAATAGACAGGAAACGCAGTTCTCTTTGGAAAGTTTACGAAGAAGAGAGGCTAGGGGTGTTCAGACAAATACAACAACTGATCTGTATCTGTATCTGTAGTCTGTGGCACTGATCAAAGTTTCTTACATCCGGACGGGAGAACATGGCCCATTCGCACTTGTGCCCGTCCCGTAAGACCAATATCCAAATGAAATCTGTTTCGGTCTTTGACCCTTCTTCAGCCAATACAGATACAAGTTAAGTGTTGTTTATATACTGAACTTTAATTTTAAGTTACCTCATAGCAATGTGCCGCAATATTGAGATTGGTCAGGCCAACTTTTTGAAGAGGAGGTGGGAGGTGGTGTGACGTCAGTGGGCAAACACAGACGGACAATAGGCAGACCTGCATGGTGGCAAAAACAAACACGGTGGACAGACGGAATGGAGACAACGCGCCATCGGTGACAATGACATGCCGCTGAGTTTGTGATTTCAAAAAAAATCGGGAGAGGATTTTTTACATGCCAATGTGAACAGTTTCCACAATTTTTAAAGGATACAAGTAAAAATGAAGCGGCAATGATACCTAATCGTCACCCAAAGTACTAACATGTTTGTACTACTGACAAACTACATACTAGGAATCAGTTATCCCAAGGAGGTTTAGAATACTGTATCCCTGTCCCTGTGACGTCATGGGTCAGTCCTACATCAGACTTGACTAGCCTACTTGGAGATTAAGAGGCGACCGCACTGCTCATCATGTTTTAGCCTCTTGAGTAAAAAAAAGTTTATTGACACGAATAGATAACTTCGACTGTAATAGGATATTGTAGATGGAGGAACTTGAAATAAATATCCACCACTACTAGGTAAACATCCTAGAAGCCGTCCCAGAAGCCACCGCGATTGGTCCTCCCTAGGAAACTACCAAAACAATTAATGGGGGAGGGGAAGACTTCACAAATTGCCAAGGGCCACCAACGGCATAATATTAGAGAGATTATAGAGTGTCACGTACGGTGTCTTTGAAAGTTGTAGTTTTATACATGCCATTTTTCCTCAAGTGGCCTTGCACACTAAAAGCAAACCCTTTGCCCAAAAACACCCCTCCCTCCTCCGGCATCGCCCAATGCGTGTTAATAGTCTGGTGCTCCTCAATTCACGGTTAGTTGACCGAGTGGAGCGCGCCCGGCAGGATGTCATCCGACTCTCTGTCCACTTCTGCTGACGCCCAGGAAAACAACCAGCTGGCTCCGTGCACGCTCGCCAGGACAACTTTCGCACCGCTATCGACTGTTCCCAGTGTTAATTCACTGGTTCAAGCTCTCGACGAAGACGGTGTGTGGAGTAACGGAACCGTAAAGACGATACATAGTGATGGAACAATTACGGTTAAATTTGACGGTTGGCGAAATCAGTTCAACAACCGAGTCAACTCCACTTATGTGCGGCAGCGCATCGAGTCACCAGAAGTCACAAAGCGAAGACGATCTGCGAAGTATAAAGTTGATGTTACAAAGATAATCGCAGAAGATACCGTATGGTTCAGCGAAGAAGGCGGCGGCGAGGTAAAAAGTGGCACTGTTGTGTGGGTAGACCCATTCACAGAAAGCTTGGCATTGCAGACAGTAGCCCAACCTTCAGAGGAAGAAGACAGTCTTTGCACCCCAACTACTGTGCTGTTCAACCAACTGGAACCAAAACCTGCACAGAACACTGTAAAAACCAAACGGAGGCCACCCACAACTGCTCCGGTTAGAGCGAAGAAACGACGAGTGACAGACGCCACAGCACAGACAGAAAATGAACCGATCTCCCCTGAAGCCAGCGGTGAAGCTGAAACACTGTCTTCCTGTGAGTCTCAGCAAACCACGACTCTCCAGCAGTCTACCCTGCGTGAGTTAGACCAACACCTACGCGAGGATGGAGTCCTCCTCTGTTGTGGTGAGGTGTACTCTCTTGGACAAGTGCCATTTCTGTTGATTAAACTGGCATACAATGCTGACGAGACGGTCACCGCCACATTGTGGAAGTGCAAAGCTGACGCGGAGGTACTGACAGGCGTTGAAGAAGACTGCACTTTAATCTGTAATGCCCGCCATTTGGATAGGCACAGCGGGAAGAGCTTCAGCAGACAGTTCGCACTTGTGCGCAAGAAAACAAGCCAAGAGGCACTTAATAGAGCCGTGGACTGTAGCATAAAGAATGCTGGCGACAGTGCCTACCAGTCATTGCTGAGAAAGAATAGCATCGGGATATGCATCCGAGGGGAGACGGAAAGCCTGAGTAAAAATGGTCGCCGAAAGACTTTCAAGATTGGACCAGTTCAGCTCAGTGTTGACAAGGACCTGATCGGGATGGACCAAACATTCTGTAGGAAGTTTAACATTGGAACGGAAGGGGACTTCGCTAGAATAGACAAAATCGCGGGAGCACAATGGGACGTCAGGAAGCCGAACACGACAGACAATTCAGCTCACTACTTAGTGGTAACTTCTGCCTGCATCCGCCTGGACAAAACAAAATGTCTTGTTTGCTCGCTAGACTACATCAATAGCGGAAGACCATTCACTAACAACTATCGACAAGAAATAGCAACAATGACCTTACCTTCAGATAGGTCAGAGCTGTAATTGGAATCCACTGTACTATTAGTATTAAAATATATTTTGTTTGCAAGCAGTAGTTATAGTAAAATTAAAAAACTGGGAAACCTGTGAGTTAAGAAAAATACATATCGAAACTACATCTTTGTTTTAATTCATTTTGCCGCTCTTTACATGAATTGATATCGCATAGTGATCACGTAAAGATAACAAATTGACATTATTATGGCTTCCATACAAACAACCATTTTCAGCCTAGATTTTTATGCAAATCTTGTATGTTTAAGAAGAATGACTTGAGTCCCTATTGAGAGCCATTCTTGCCTCTGCACACGTAATTAATGCCTTGAGTCAATGAGATACCTATTTCAAAAGGTTGAAGTACTAGTATATGTATGTACATTGTACAGAACAGTAGTCATTAGGCAATTGTCTCCTGGTGTATCAGTTAACATGCATAACTTATCGTACAGCAAATTCAGATAGCACTTAACGATCATACAGGGCAGATATTGGGATAGTCAGAGAATTTCTCTTATAGTGTGGAATGTGATTCCGGTGGATCACGTTTGACTTACTTTAAAGTTTAGAGCCTGAGGAACACTACTAGTGGGAAATGCTTAGTTAAATTTATTAGTAAAACGTTACATTTCTAGTTTAGTTGTACTTCTTTTTTCACGTTGAACACTATAGTTAGATTACACTTGTTTCCCCATATTGTTCGGGAGATGACATTATATAAACGTAAAATTAGTCATGTTCGTCCCTTTCCGTTGTAATGTTCGTAGGTAATATATTAGGCGATATAATAAAGTTTTAATACAACTATAGGCTTCACTCATACATTAATAACAGCACCATATCTACATCCAGTGTTTTACTAATAGAATAATATTGGATAATTATAGAATTTCTTTTTTAGTTTAACGCTTTCATTTACAGTTTAGTCATGTGAGAATAGATAGATGAGACTTGTTTTTCCCATATCGTGTAGGCGATGACATATTGTAAGCGCATATTAAGTCTGCTTGTTCCTTTTCAATAAAAGATGTACGTTTGTAATAACGTTGTGTGTGGAGTTTTGTATCGTAAGATTCGTGGGGTGGGGGGTCGTTATTTTATTCCGACTAGTGAAGTTTCGGCAATATCATGAGTCGTTAAAAGTGTCCGACCGTCGGCAGGGTATTGACGCCATGACAGTCTTGTGTACCGAGTAAGGAAAGCTCACACTACGTGTTTCGTAAGTTCTTGTTTTTTAATCAAATTTGTTTTGGGGGAAATGCTGGTAAGTAAATGACTCGGTCTTTTTCTTTTTGCTTCTCTTCCGTCATGTACGAGGCAAGGTCTCACCCGAAGGCATGGATTGGTTTGGAAGCAAATCTTTAAAACCCAGATGGTAGCCACAGCCTAGCGTCCCTTGCAGTCTTCCTGAGCTGGTGTTTATTTCCGGGAGAGCGTAACGTGGTACCCAGACTATTGCTTGCGAGCATACAAGCTCTGTCCCCCGCCTGATCAACTCCCCAGCCCCGGTAACATGAGCCCGCCGGAACTAAGTTGGCTAAACTCCTTGCGTGACATATGTAGCTACTGGCAAGCAAAGCCACGAAAGGTCTGGTCTCCATGTTAGTAGATAACTACAGCCCGTAAACAATCAGATACAAGCGCTAGAACGCCGGATGGCACATGTACCGCTGCAGACAGCGCACAGCGAGTGGACAAAGCGCCATCTAGCGATATTAAATCACATATACATGTACTGGCCTGTTAGTGTATGCTGCGGGGATTAGCACAGTAATTGACACATGCCCGAGAGTCAATAAACTCCGCCTACACACATCCGGACCACTCATTTGCATTATACGCTTCTGAATTGGCTCAGTTCGTAATGCTGTGACCCCGGGGCTCGTTCACTATACACTCGGGGGAGGAGTGCACTGTACCTGTCTTTCTCAAAATCACGAAATGATAACAGTGCCATGCAAACAATAACCCTAACAGCAACCACCGTCGCCATGGCAATGTATGTTGTCATTGCCAGTCTTGTTTGTTAATGTTATGACATACATACATTGTACTTCACTTTCTTTAATCGTGATGTTTCAAGTCAGGGAATACAAGACCGCTGTTGTTTCTAAGAGTTGTTTAAAGAGTTGTTCATTGGAAGTTCATGCCCGAGGGCTAACTGCAAACCGACATTGACAAGAGAAATGTGGTGATATAAAACTATATGCTAACATGAAGTTCTACGTGTAAGATATACATATTAAATTAAATTAAATTAAATTGAATTTGATAACGTTGGTGTACAGGATAAACAGTGGATATGCAATACATAAACTGGTAAGAGGAACAAGGTAACTGCTATTCTAATCTATTCTATTCTATTCTATTAAACTATTATTGCCATGTTATTAGGGGGTTTGACTTCTTCTCAGGAGGCAGTGGGAGATGAATTGTCCCACTCTTTCAAAAATAAATGGGTTGGGAGACTTTAGCAGTATCATAGTCTTTAAGAGACAAAATGTTCGTCATTCGCTTACCCCCTGGCGATCTCTGATAGTGAGATCTTCCACCGTCCACTGCAGCGGTCCCACCAGCACATTCAGGAAAGCCACGTTGTCAACCCTCGCTGCTTCCCATATCATGCTTTTCTGAAAGATGAGATTGTTTAAAGTTCACTTCGCGTATTGGAACAGTTACTGCAGACATCACATGCTTTCTCACTGACCATACAGTAATCATAAATCTTTTTCTATCACAGCAATCCGCCAATGCTAATTGTGGATCTAAATAAATTCAAAGTTTTATCCAACATTCTTTCCACTCCTTCCTTTTTATGCTTAATTGTTGCAAAAACTTAGCCTGGTTTCATTGATATGGCCAACACTATAGTCACAAGAAAACAACAAGAAAAACAAAAGGTCTACTGAAGTAGCGTAGGGACCCCCCACGAAGCCCATTTTCGAACTTAACCTTGGTCTCGCCAACGGTAACCTGCCTGCCAAACATCATGAACATCGAGATGCCTTCGAGATTTATGCCACATAGTCTCCCACACTATATATAGCAAAACGATTTCAGAGCCTTCTGACGAAGGCAATCAGAAAATAACTATAAAAACACCGTTTACCAGATCTTTCCGAATGGTTGGGTCCACCCAGCTGAGAAGTCTGGCTGTAGTTGTAGTCAGAGGACCGTTGACTCCTTGTTGCTTCATTTGTTGTTGGTACTGAACTTCATACTTCAGCAGTAAGAGTTCCAGGATCTCACCGTGGCCGAACCACGTGGCCATGTGCAGCGGCGACTGGAGATCCTTTAGATATAGCAAAATAAGATGTAATAGTCAATAATAGAATTACAGACTATATACAGTAGGTTCCACTTATTTTTATTTCTTTTACATGTATATTTCGGGTATCTGTATAGAATTCCAAAACACCAAACCATTTATCATTCACACCATTGTAAAAACAATGTATAATTGTATATAGCGCATAATGCCATACCTGGGCCGCGATTACGTTCGATACGGGTGTTCCGGCCCGTGTGATAACTAGCGGTACGGCCCAGGGTTGTTGACGTCTACCGCCTGGGCTTCCAAATGTTCCAATATAATTCGAACGCGTATTGTGCGCACCGAGTGCTACTAGTATATAATAGTACCTGTTACAATCGTTGTGCAATAAATACTACTCAATAATACTTTTGACTTGATTAGAGTTAAAACTTTACATCCAACACAAAAAGTTCTCTCATCTAGAGCTTTCGACCAGTCACTCTGGTCTTCCTCAGTATACTGACCCAGTGAGGCTTGTCACGTGGCTTCTTTGAAGTGTGACGTCAACACTGGGTCAAAGGTATCTGGTAGACGATGTCGGCCCCCGTCGCGGTAAAGACTATTTCCTGAGTGTGGTAGAGGAGGCTATTTACATCAGGGCCTATCACCATTCACTTAACCGCGAAGAGGGCCGACATCGTCTACCAGATACTTTTGACCCATTGGTGACTTTTGGTCAAGTGGCTCGCCTGTGCGTGGTAAAGGCCGGGGCAGAAAAATCACCGCCAAGCCGACCAAAGGTTTGGTACCCAGGCTTGCATGTAGCAGCTCAAGGATTTAACTCAACGCCGGACCATCAACTTACTAGCCTGGTATCTAGTCTGATCGTGGTCGAGGCCACAAGAGCTCTGTCCCGCCCGCCTGACATAGGTTTCCCGGTGTGCATTTCACGAGAGATTGATTAGCCCTCTAGCATACTGTCTCTTATTAGCGTAACACTCCTACCGGGAAGGCCTGTTGCACTGGGCGGGGGAAGCTATTAGAGCCCCCGAAGGCACAACCTGCCCGGACACCCCAATACCCCCAATCACGTAAGACTGGATACCAGGCTATCAACTTACCTTACTGCGCACAAGTGTGTCGGCGCCGGCCCGCAGCAAACGGGACACAATCTTGGCGTTCCCAGCAACCACCGCGCAGTGCAATGGCGTCACGTCCTCAAACTGATGTTCTTTGACAACATCCGACGTCTGCAAAGGAGGTAATATGAAAATCAAAGCTAGAATTCTATTGATGATTTTATTGGGACTCAAAATCCCCGACGTTAGTCTCGAGAGCATTCTGCAGCTGCTGCGATCACCTAATTTGCTGTAACAGTTACATTGATTAAGTTTTTAGACATCCAGGTAAGAGACATTCAATTCAATCTCTACTACTGGATAAATTATGGAATTTATTTCCGGACGTTTTGAGTCACTCTAATCTGTTGTTATTTGTGGTATGGAACAGATGAATCGCTATGTATCAACATCTATAAATTGAAAACAATCATGAAAATTCATCTGTGTTGGTAGTAATCATAGTAAAATGTTGAACTTCACTCCGACACAAGGATTACACAGAGATCAAATTTTCAACCACTACTGTGGCCTTCATCAGGATAATCAATGACCAATCACTTCTAAACGTAATCTCGCGTATTCTCGCGTATCCATAAAGTCTCGTGTGATGAGGTCACGTGTCTGTAACCGTAACTCTCGCGAGATTACGTTTCTAAGTGATTACTAGTAGTCATTGATTATCCTGATGTTTACCGAGAGGAAAGCATATTGTTTTTGCTACGTTTCTTCTTCTTCTGTTCCAAACACTAACCTCTGACCTGACCAATGACATGATTTGTTGACGTCTGTCACCATGGTAACTGGTGTTGGGTTACATAATGCTGCAATTTTATAGTAGGAGGCATTTAGACTCCTGTCTGACCATATATATATATTAATGTATGTGAGTAAGAACTAACAGAGCAGACCATGTGCAATGGTAAACATTATGCATTTGCTTTGCAAATGTTACCTTTCTAGTTGAAAATTTGATCTCTATGTGTAATCCTTGTGTTGGAATAAAGTTCAACATTTTACTATCTATTCAAAACACTTACGTTATATGGAAACAGTCGCATCGATTTCATCTCATTGACGTCATGTCCGGCTTCCAGGAATTTGTTGATCCTCCCGATGTCTCCTCTCAAGGCGGCAGTGTGTAGGTCCTTAGCCTTGCTCGACTGTGTGGGTGGACGGAAGGTGAAACTTCAATGATATTGATTTATTTTTTTGGCGGCGTCTCAGGGAGGAGCCTAATGGTACAGTATTGTGTGCAATTCGCAAGAATTCTAGGAATTGTACAGGCATTTTGTCCACAGGCATGCGGAATATCCACAGGCATTTCTCTGACCCACATCCATGCCCACATTCCTGGAACCCCGAAGACCTGTCTGCCCCAGATGGCCCTACATTCTCTGACCCCGGGGCTCGTTCACTATGCACTCAGGGGAGGAGTGTACTGTATCTGTCTAGACTTAACCAAAGTCCAAAGTCCAAGTACCAAGTCTTCCTCAAAATCATGAAATGATGGCAGTGCCATGCAAACAATAACCCTAACAGCAACCACCGTCGCCATGGCAATGTATGTTTTCATCGCCAGTCTTCTTTAAATTTTATTTTATTCACATGGATTTTTGAGCATTAGATAGGAAGCACTTGTTGTGCTTGTGTGAATCCGCTGCTCATAAAACATAATACAAATGTAAACATAGGATGACATAAAATATAACATAAACATAAAATGAAAGTGGCTGGCGCACCAATACCTATAGCGTTAATGAGATTGGTCAAATCTTCCAGAGTGATGAATATAGTTGAACACAATATCAAAGATACGGCAGCTAGTAGGGTATATATACGTATGGGAGGGAGGGGCTACCTGTAAGAAGTAAAGTGCATAATGAGGTGTCATTTGCGCTGAGTCTGAGTGGGTCGGAAGGGAGTATGTTTTCAAGATGAAGGCAATATATGGATAACAACATTTTGGTCCTTTTATGTTAATTTTGTGAATTAATTATATGTAATTGTGTGTGGTACGTAGATTCACATAACAGCGGACAGGACTAAAGAATGAATGTGGTAACGAAGTAGAGAAACTCAATTAGGCCATGTTGATTTGATTATATGGATGACATCCGCGCGCGCATGAATTTTCGGCCGTTTCCAAAAAAAAAAGTTTTCAACCATACTGTAATGTAATGCGTGTGGTGTAATGTAATACATACAAAATGAGAAAAAATATACCATAAGTTACAAAAAAAATTAATAAAAACTATACCAATGTCGTAGAATGCCAAAATCAAACGAAAAAAGACGAAATTGTAAAGAAATGAACTTGAAGACTAGATAATTCGCCAAACCATATTCTGTCCCATTTGTTCAACCCTCATGACCACGTAGATTTCATAATGAAAACAACTTTTTTTTTGCAAAACTTTTTTTATTCGCACGCGCGCATCAGTTTTGGGGTTCCCGGAGGATGTCATCCATATAATCAAATCAGCATGGCCTTACCTGCGAAATGGACCATTTTGACCCCGTGCTAAGCGCACCCTGCAAAAATGCAAATTTTGTGGTTAATGCAAAAATCATTACTTGTAACATTCAAAGAAGAGAAAGTACTAGTATATAGTACCTCCAATGTGAATTTTACGTTTTATAAAAAAAACAACAACTAGGAAACTGTGTGAGTCAGATTTCAAAGTTGATAGATCAATTGCAAAATGTCTTTACAAAATACCTGGTCTTGTGGTTATTGTGACCAACGAAAGCATTGGTCTAATTTCTTTCCCAAGCAGAAGAAATAAATTTTGTTACTATAGTAAAAGGTTGAACTTTATTCCAACACACAATATGTACAGGGATGAAATTTTCAGCGACCACTGTCGCCTTCATCAGGATAATTAATGACCAATCACTTCACAACGTGATCTCGCGAGAATTACGGTTTACAAACACGTGACCTTATTCACACGAGATTTTACTGATACGTGACGTAAGTAATTGATCAAAAGTGCCAGGGAGTTTATATCGTCCACCATCTCTATTAAGTTATTATTATCCTGATGAAGGCGACAGTGGTCGCTGAAAATTTGATCCCTGTACATATTGTGTGTTGGAATAAAGTTCAACCTTTTACTATGATTACTACCAACACAGATGAACTTTCATGATAAATTTTGTTACTATGGTCTCTCACCATTGCTGACACCAGCGAGTCAGTTTCATCCATTCTATTGGTGTTTGGATCGGCGTCTTGTGGAATTTCATCTTTACTCTGTGTACGTGTACCCGAGGCAGTTATATCGGTTCTCGGCTGCAATATGAAACGGTAGATACAAATTTGTAGGGTGCTCATTGATTGCCAAGATACTCGTTGAAATATGTAGCCTCTACCAGGCTTCGGGAGGCGGCTGGAGAATAGAAATCGGCCAAGAGTTGATCCGCTATAGAGTACAATTTGCCGCACCCGGTTCCTCTGGCATGTTATCCCTCTACTTGGCCAATTTCTACTCTTTTTAACCGCCTCCTGAAGCCTGGTACAGGCTATGAGATACATGTATATTCCATCTCTTGGCTGGTTAAACTATTTCGATTGCTTCTGATTGGCCAGAATGTCGACAGAACGTACTGCGCCTGTGCGAAGCCCGTAATGTATTATGCATAGCACCTCGGCAGAACGTCTCATATAAGGGTGTATTCGCGTATATAAGGTTGACATCCCGTCTGTAGTTTCCAAATGTTGTGTTGGAAAGGATATCCTCTGCAACAGGCAAAATTTTGATGCAAAGTTGACCAAAGATCCAGCGAAAACCGTGAAAAATCAGAGTTTCGCGCAGGCGCAGTATGTTCTGCCGACGTGCTATATTGGGATGGAATATTGAAATATGGAAAATGTGTCAAAGAAACCGTTGCAGCCAGAGAATACTTATATTTTTTAAATCTCAAATTTTGCTTGAAGACTAGTCAAAATCAGCCGTGCTCATCATAGTTTAACTACTAACCGTGAATAGTTTGTCATGTAACAAAGAAAGCAATATCTAAAACTAGAAAAGTAACATTTGCAAAGCAAATTTGCCTTCGGACATGGTCTGCTCTGTTAATTCTTACTCAAACACATTCACATACATGTACTACTAGTATATGGTAACAGGAGCAGAGCAGACTATGAAATTGCAACATTATGTAACCCAACACCAGTCACCATGGTGACAGACGTCAACAAATCATGTCATTGGTCAGGACAGAGGTCACTGGAGAAGAAACTGAGCAAGAAACTGAGCAAAAACAATATGTTTTCCTTCGGTGAACATAATCATGTTTACGAGTGTCAGAAATCCAACAATGCAAGATTACACCCGCTGACTCACGTTCTCGTCAGGAAATATTGGAGCTCACAGCTGTGAAAAGTCACTCATCACTAGCTAATTGAGGAAATATTTGGCATTATGCTTGTACAATCAGACTTTCTGACAGAAAGCTAAACTACAATACCATATGCCTCACGCGAGGGAATGCTTGTGCAGGGGTAGGTCGATGGTTCAACTGGGAGTGTCTGAGAGTGAGTACGTGTGCGTGACAATTAATGTTTTTCCTACCTTCTTCAGTTTCATTGAAGAAGGTAGTGGCATTGTCTCGTCTTTCAACTGCTGAATTCATTTTACCACACACACACACACACACACACACACACACACACACACACACACACACACACACATACATGCACACATATAGTAAACAAGTGGAAAAATAGGTTGTGAAATGTTAGATACGCAAAGAAGATACATTGTCAGCCATAGAGAAGTGAAAAAGCTGGAGGTTAATGTGAATCTGTGCTTTGAAAACAACTTTTGTGCAGAGCTTTTGACACATGGTAATTCTGTTGAAAAGTTGCAACAAAAGTCCACGACCATTCTGTTTATGTAGACAACTTTAGTCATGTTTATTAATTCTATTACGTTGTCAGTTTGCCAAGGAAACAAAAGTGATGGGATAAATTGGATGTAAAAATGGAGTAAATAATTCATCAGGCATAAATCTTTAAAAAACCTCATATTGCACAGTCAGAAATAACAAATAACGGTTGGTTACAAAATGCTGGAAATAGCGTTTCAGAGGGATTCAAAATTCAAAATTTCCTGCCGCCTTCTCTGCAAACTATAGATAACGTTCGCCCTTAGCTTGCCCTTCTTGGCCTTCAATTTAAAGATTGTTATCGTGTAGCTATAGCGTCTACTTTGCAGTTGTAAGCGAAAATGTGAACTACATGGAACGTTCATATATTCCCCATGGTGTACCGGGTTTTTGCCAACAGTTATAGTTTCGTCGTGTGAAGTTACTTTTCCTTGCAAAAACTAGCAGTAGTAAGCATTTCTTCAATCTCTACAGCAGGTGTTTTCTTAGTAGTACCCGTTAGCCGCCCCTAATTTCTATAGCAGCCCAGCCGCCAGAAGAAGGCTATTCTCAGTCACACACATGCACACAACTGCGCACCGAGACTACAATTGTAAGCTGACAGTGTATAAGGCCGTGTTTATGTGAAGTCACCCAAGGCGCTTTACATGTGGTTTACCCCGAAGCCGGTTTCAAGTGGCTCCATCTGAACGCTCCAAATCACATTGAAAGCGCCTCGATCCCAAGCCACTTCTAGAGGTGGTTTTGAATCGGTTTTCCTGCATCGCGATTTGCGTCTGAACGCAATGTGATTTCAATGTAACTTCACTTGGTCATGGATTACGGGGTGTTATTTCTTTATTTATATGCAATACCAAATTTTACGTGTCAGCAACTTAAAGAGTAGTAATGGTCAAATAATGTGTCCGTTCTAGGACGAGCTTCACCGCCTCTGGCGGGACTACGTCGGAATTCGGCCGAGATACGCTGGGAGGGGGGCACCAGCAAGCAGGTCGTTGACCTCTGACAATAATGACACGCTACCTAGCGTGTTTTCATCAAACAACAATGAATGTAGTTTCTGAGAATCGTGATCGGGCACGTTTTAAAAGGAATGTATGGCACGTGGACCAGATGTGAGGAATGTGAGTTACCCGAATCGCGGTTTGGGTGACTTCACATTAATACGGCCTAAAAAGGTAAAACTATAGGTCTTTCTACCTCTGTTGAATATGACAAGGCTAATATCTTTATAGCTGATATTACCAGCCTTCGCAGGCACGCGGCGCGGTAGCAGGTGTACAGAGCAACACGGAACGAGTGGGGTCGTGTGGCATAGCGGCAGAGTACTCGACTCGGAGCCCAGAGGTCCCGGGTTTGGGATTCGCGCAGGCGCAGTACGTTCTGTCGACGTGCTTGATTGGGCCAATATCCGTAATATCACGTGACAGCGGTTAGCCTGTAGTACACTGAAAAAATAATCGCACTCCCCTAGAACAACGAATATGTCGGTACTGTGATCTAGGAAGAATTGAAGATGAGAAACATAAGAATGTAAACTATACCACAAAGAGCGAGTAGATCTTTATAATCTGATACAATCTATTTTCCCCTTCTTTATACATCTAAGCTGTACAGATAAATTTTATATTTCTAATGAGCTTAGACAAACCTTCTATATTGAAACATAACTGTTCTTACATTTTTGCCATTACTAAGAAACGAGAAGAAACCGAATTTACTTGATTGTAGCTAGCGCTACTTGGCGATGTATATATGTAACGTTATCTATATTTCATCCTTTTTTGTGACCTGTACTTAACCCAGTGGGTATGTGTGTACAATAAAGGTCTTCATTCATTCACTGAAAAAATAACACTCACTACTTTCAGGTCGAATTGTTGTACTGTCCCCAGATCCAGTTCGCCCACATGCAGCGTTACCGCTCCTATCAGCTTGTCCTTTTTGAACGTTCTGAAGTTTCTAACGTTGACCTGCAACAAGAAGTACGTGCATTCTTGTTTTAGCAACCACAGTATGCCACCAGACATTTTCCAAACAAAACATGTTTTAGCGCTACTGAACTTTTATTTATTTATTTCTGTTTTATTTATACAGGGTAGAGACCTCAGTGCTATTTAAAACACTGCTTTTCAGGAATGCCCGGCACGTGACAACAAGTTACACATGAAAACAATGAAACCAGCACATTAAACAATACATAAAGTTACAAAACAACCAAGCGTCAAAACAAAATCGTTAACCGTAAATCAGTGTCGTTAAGCCAGGCCAAGGTCAGGAGGTCAGAGGTCAGCAGTGTTGTTTCAGAACCTTCTTAAACAACAGGTAAGACGTGGCCACTCTAACTGTGGCAGGTAGGCCGTTCCAAGCCAAAACTTTATATGACCTTCGCATATGGTCTGGTCTGTTAATTATTACCCAAACACATTCACATATACGGTGATAGGAGTCTTAAGTCCTCCTGCTATAAAATTCCAACATGATGTTACCCAACACTAGTCACCATGGTGACAGACGTCTGGTTCAGGTCATTGACCTTATTGGTTTAGAGAAGAAGAAGAGGAAACAGAGCATAAATAATCTGTTTTCCTTCGGTAAGCATAATTATCGTGGGATCAGTTGCCACTACAAGATAATGAAATTCCAGACTTTCTCCGCAAGTCATTATGACATTAACGACCCGGTCTAGCAACTTCTAACTCGGTCAGTCAATGCTCGAACAACTCAACTCAACACGATTACTAGTATAGTTAAAAAATACTAGGATAGTCGTACTATGTCGTACTAGTACGATTACTAGTATAGTTAATAAAGAGGCAATATATGTACAACCCCACCCTCAATAGGGAAGGGGGCTACGGGTAGATCTCTCCGGCACTTGTTTTTTGGCGCTCCCAGCCCCGAGGACAGACAACACTTAAACTCCTGTTCTGTATAACAAGAGCGTTCTGACTAGTTTGCATTATCTTGTCTTGACTTGTCTGACTTTTCGACTTCCCCAAAAAATGTATTCACTTTATTTGAATATCAATCAATAGTTTGTGCTTATAAACCTGCATTTCTCCTCTGGTCTCTCAGTCACTGACGAAAGCTAGTGGATACTAGCTGAAACGTCTGACCGTTTCGAAAATCATATCCAGTTGCTTTTTGGCGGATTACTAGTATAGTTTGATAGGAGGCCACGTACGACGACAAAACTATACGTATACTAACACGATTACAGCTTAAACAGTAATAGTATTTGACATGTTTTCTTTTTAAACTGACACCTGTTATTTTTGCAAAGAAAGTTGTAGAGGACATATATCGCCAGCGGGTGTAATCCTATCTGAGTGGTAACAACACTTCACTGTTTTGCTTTGTTTTCACTTCACTTCCTCGCAGACAAGGACAAACTTAGGTTGGTGAAATATAGTCTTACTGATCAGTTTATCTTCAATTATGTTAACGTTATGGAAGGAATTTTTCAAGTCAACGGTTAACAAAGACTCTATTTCGCCTCTCAATATTGCAGCAGTCCTTTGAGTAAATACACTACAACAAGTGCCATATTGTTAACACATTTAAGATAAAGATCTGTACTTACATGCAATACTGAAGCATATGAGGTTTTTCTTAGCTGGAACAGGAACTTGTCGTTGAACATGGGGGTGTAGGTTTGCCTGGCGACTTTAGTCGTGAAAATGTCCTCTCCAAGTTCCACTGTGACATAAGGGTCACAGCTCCCGTGACTTCGGACACTGGCCTGAGTTCTTGTCCGCAGTGTTGTCCGCGTCGACTTCCCCCGTACCCTGCGCACGGCGTCCTTGTTCAGACGGGCCCGCACCACGGTCACCTCCAGCGTGCCTCTGTAGTCGTCCTGCCGGGCGATCAGCTCCACTGTCCCGATGGTTGGGACGGCGAGGTCGGCTTCGTCAAATACGGAGTCGGCGGAGCCATTAACCACGTCCATGGCGGCTCTGTACGTGCCTGGAGGGTGGATAGTCCGGTCTATTGAATGAGCACGCCAAAATGGACGCCCAGGTCGCGCTAGTCTACGTGTACCTTACCCACCGAGGGAACTGTTTGCCAACTTCACCACATAGCAGCAAACAATAGAATCTGTACCTTGACTTTGACGCTTCACAACACAGCAATCTCGTCACCACTGCTGACGTCTTGTCGCCTTTCCAGTACACGTATTTACAGATCTGACCATAGATGCTTGTAAAAGTATTGTAAGTTTTTGTCGCCCGAAGGCTTCTCGATCCAACGACTACAGGTGTCTGACAGAGAACAATACCACACCACTCTTCAGATTAACATACCGAAGACATGTACAAAAGATGTCCATCTGTGTCACGAAAACATGACCATGGTAAAGTCACGTTCTACAAAGAATGACCGTTGTTGTTCACGCTGTGCCCTAACATGGATCTTTCCTATCGCATTACTTCCAGGTAAGGGCGTATTGTTTTGGGTGGCTGAGCCGTGGTTTCATGTTTGTGCTACTCTCCAAGCAGATGTTGGTGGGGAAGATCGTTACCTTTCTATTATATGGTGGAGGTAGCGAACAAAAAAGGGCATATAATAGAGAGGTAACGATCTTCACCACCAACCTGGTGGGGTCGTGTGGCGCAACGGCAGCGTGCGCGACTCGGAATCAAGAGGTCCCGGGTTCGAGTCCTGCCACCGATCTTGTGCTCTTGGGGCACTTTACACGACTTTTCCGACTAGTCTCAAGTGAAAATGAGTATTGTCTGTCCAGTATTCGTTTCTATGTGCGGGACACAACAACAGCAACAGCTGCCTCTGTTCCGCGTGTATTGCACTAAATATTTCAATAAATAAAGCAAAATAAAATCAACTAAGTAGGTTTGTGCATCTGTTTGTCCGAGCGCGAACAGAGTAGGTTGACAGCACTTGGGTGGGGGAAGATTGACAGACAGAATGACAGAGGTCAAATGTCTCAGAATTTGGTCGGGGAGCCAGGAGGTCGACATGTGAGAATTCAAGGAGCCGAGGATTTCATACATGTACGTTCCAGAAGCCTTGAAGTATTCCAGATTCCTTGAAGTATAGCTCTATATTATATTTAAACGTTATCCACTGTTTATGTCTTATGTTCAATCCCTTACCTTAAACTGAAAACAACTAGTTTGTGTAATACTATGCATGTGCAAATAAACAAATAAACAAAAACAAGTCAAGCACCATAAAATCAATCCATAAACCACTACAGGATACTTATAAGAGCATTGTTTTATTCATTAATCCATTATACGCCTTGAAAGTGACACATTTGAGCCGGAAATCCCACAAGCTGGTTAAGTCTTTAGTCGGCTTCAGACATGAGGAAAATATTTGCAATCGATAAAAAACGCTTGGCACTGCGATTTGGGAAACCTTCTGGCGATCAACAAATTTTGCCGGAGGCACGTCGCAAACATTCACCATTTTCCCATTCCCAGGATGCATTGCGACTGGGGGTAAAATCTCAGCCCAGATTGCAACAACCTGTTTTTCTGCGTGTTTTGAGGTGTTGTGGCATTTTATGCTCAACAGCCAACATTTATTGACTTACTATGGGTCGAATCTGACAAAAAATAGAGAATAAAATTTTTGTGTTCTTTTTTAACATGGGACATGTGGTTTGCAACAGTGGTAACACTATACCGTCTTTTAATAGAAAAGGAGATACAAGTATATTGTTCAGAATAATTCAAAAGATATTGTGGTATATAAAGGCAGCAACCTTCATCATTTTAGTTTCTGTTATCAACGACTGTAAAAACACCACATAATTCAGATCACATGGCGCTATGCAACCTGGGAATTTTTACCCCCTTGCGCGCAATGCATCATGGGAATGGGAAAATGAACGGTTTTGGGTACGGGCCTTTTTCACATCATTGGTTTCTTTCGTGCAAGTATGTCTGATTTCGCCAGTGCTTTTCTTATTTCAAAGGCGTCTGTTTTATCATTTATGAAGTCTTTGTAAACTTATTCTTGTCATTTTGAATGAACTTGGTCATCTCTGTGGAAGGTAGTGTTGCGTCATTTCCGTTTCCGCTTCGTTCTCCATCCGCCTTGGTTGTCTGTTTTACAACATACAAAAAGAGGTAAACACAATAAGAACAAAAGAACGACGAATCCTTTTAATATATGCCAAATCGGAGACCTTGAATGGTCACATATAACAAGTGCATGTAGTTTGTGCACTGAACTTCTGTAGTTCTTACCGTCTGAGCATCAAGATGACAGCAGCTAGCACCATGATAGTTAGAACAGGGACTGCTACTCCGATTCCAATAAGCACACCTACAAGTACAGTAAACAAGAATACCAGTATCCGTAAATAATTTCATCAGGTTGGTAAACGAATGAATAGCAAAGTTCTTTAGTCACAACCATTTATTTTTCACGAGCCGACGTTTCGATGACTGTCTGTCATCTTCATCAGGGCAATTCTGACTGGTTTACTGTGCACTGACGCTAGATGTTACTTGGTGCATAGTGCACTAAAGGTGTTACATGGTTCATCTAGCGTCAGTGCACAGTAAACCAGTCAGAATTGCCCTGATGAAGATGACAGACGGTCATTGAAACGTCAGCTCGTGAAAAATAAATGGTTCTGACCAAAGAACTTTGCTATTCAAGAATACCAGTAGTTCTTTGTAAACAAAAACTCAAGAGGATAATGCACAGAACCATAAATTACGCATAAAAGCCAACAGTTTAAATTTGTATATATCCCTCATGCAGCATTCATTAAAGTTCACAAATATGCTATATCTTAGATATGAGGATTCCAAACACTTCAAGTGTATGTGGTGAAAATTTTTATGTTTTGGCGAACATTGACCAACTCAGCACGGCTTGGCAGACAGCTAAGAGCGCCGCCATGCATACCTGTAGAAACTGCAGCTGCATAAGTTGCGGTGGTCCTCTCGCTAACAGTTGATGACAGCAGGTCTGTGGGCCATGGAAACAGAACAAAAAGAATGCAAAAATATAGAAAAGAAAAGCGTGACACATGTACCTAATATTCTCAGAGCATGTGATTTCAAAGGACACATTCGTCAAATAAACCATTTGTTCAAATTTGAGTTCGGGATTTGGTTTTGATGTAAATAGATTAAATTGTCACACACTTGTATATACGTCGACACTTTTAGACAGTACACTTTTTGGTATGTTTGGCTTCATTGTCCCACTCATTGTTCAAGAATAGGTGACCTGACATGGCATGCCTGACTGAGTACATGGGTGCTAGGCACCGATAGTATGGTGTTTAAAATTTAAACGACCCATAATGGACTGTTTATATAAACATAATAACATAGCTAATCCACAACTGTGAAAAAGAACGCCAAAGACACAGACTTATGTCTTTTACGTTTATGTTATAATTACGTTACTCGCGCTGTTTGCTACAAGTTACTAGTAAGAGTTTGTTGACAAGGTGTTAGCAAATATACATTTCATATCCGCCATGTTGAATTGCAGTGTACGTCAGTTAAACATGCCAACATAATGCATGCTTAAAATTTAATCAATTTACCCGCCAACACCCCGTCGCCGAGATTCATACTAGTATGATAACTATTATGATGTCAATGAAAACTTTTTAGACATGTACATATTGTTCCTGTACTATCGCCCCCCTCCCCCTTGTCCCTGACTATACCTACTAGTATTACCGAACACTGTAAGTCTGTTATACTTACCTGTATACGGAGTCACAAACATAGCATCCCTTTCCAAACACAAAACACTTGTCTGGTCCTTCTCTATGAAGGAGTAACGGTATGTACTCAATGAAGAATAAATCACAAGATGTGGATTCGTCAGAAGTGTATGTACGTATAGCATCGATGTGGCATGCTGAACAAACAGAGCTTTACAAATGTTGACAATCTGATTATTTGATATAGGGGTGCGTTGGTATTCAAGCGATTACAGAATGACCTGTATACGTCCCGATAACACTTGGTCCTGTCCGGGGCTCTGCTCTTTTTTCGTCACTGAGAAAGCCTAGTATTTGTAAACAGAGCTCAGAGTGAGTGGAAAATATTAGAGCATGTCGTCTTGGTCGAATTAGAGTGAAATACAGAACTACTTGAAACTGTTCCGTAAACACTCCACACTACTTAGACATGCACTAATATTGTTTGAACCGTTGGCGTATGTATATGTGGCAGCACATGCAGAAGATTTTAGCTAAAATCGTCGTTGTTTGTATCAGTGATTTTAACCTTTGCGTTTCATTGTTTTATTGGATTTGTTGCTCTATGTAGATGATAGACTTCGTGTGTGAATGTGTTAACAAGATAAGACAAGGATAAACTCGGGCTACTGACCAATGTACAGGTGCTTATCGGTCTTTGTTTGGGTCAACATTGCTAGTCTAAACAAAGTTTATAAAGGGTGTAGGATTCAATGGCAACAAGACTGGCAATGAAAACATACACTGCCATGGAGACAGTGGTTGCTGTTAGGGTTATTGTTTGCATGGCACTGTCATGATTTCATGATTTTGAAGAAGACTTGGTACCTGTTAAGTCTAGACAGATACAGTGCACTCCTCCCCTGAGTGTTTAGAGAACGGACCCCGGGGTCACAGAAAGTAGGGCCATCCGGGGCAGACAGGTCTTCCCAAGGGTTTCCAGGAATGTGGGCATAGATGTAGGTCAGAGACATGCCTGTGGACATTCCATTACTGTGAACAAAATGCCTGCACCATTCCTAGAATTCTTGCAAACTGCACACAATACTGTACCATTAGGCTCCTCCCTGAGACGTCGCCAAAAATGTTTTAATTGCTCCTATGCTGAGTCTCAAGAACTAGAATTTAGATCCACCACAAATGACTGAAAAAATTACGACACTATACATGTACATCGCATATTCAGTAATATATACATTTTGTTCAAATCATGTCATGTTTGCTCTTGTTAACAGTCGGATACATATTAATATAAACTAGAAAGGTAACATTTGCAAAGCAAATGCATAATGTTTACCATTGCAAATGGTCTGCTCTGTTAGTTCTTACTCACATACATTAATATATATGGTCAGACAGGAGTCTAAATGCCTCCTACTATAAAATTGCAACATTATGTAACCCAACACCAGTTACCATGGCAACAGACGTCAACAAATCAGGTCATTGGTCAGGTCAGAGGTTAGTATTTGGAATAGAAGAAGAAGAAGAAGAAACGTAGCAAAAACAATATGTTTTCCTTTCGGTAAACATAACAAGTACTTGTATGTACATGTATATATTGCTTTAAGTATCTGGAATGTTATAAATGGTACTAGCCACCTTCTGAATAGCATCTAAGTGAGAATGACAAATGTGCAATCTTATCTACTAATCAACAAATGTACAACTGAATGCGAAAAATTAAGAATAACATCTATGATATCATATCATATCATCTTTGTAACTTCAACCATCACCAACACGCACCAGCTTTTATCAATTGATTCTCTTCAATTGTATACAAGATTATTTCCCTAGTTTTAGAATTTTAGACAGATAGTTTTAGACAGAAGTCACATACCTCATGAAACTCGATAATCCTCGTATTACAAGATCCATCTGTTCTTACATTTACAACTGTCTTAAGAAGCGAGAAGAAGCAGAATCTGTACATATGTAGTTTTACTATAGATATATTTCAGTCTACCATCGCTGTTTACCATGACCTGTACTTAGTTCGAAATGAGCAAAAATGTACAATAAATGTCTTTCATTCATTCATGCATTCATTCATTGAAGGCCGTTATAATTGTCAATATCGTATTTAAGAGCCAAGCCCTGTTTTCGTGTCATCTTATATTCTTTGCTAGAATCAACAGTCCCTATTCTGGGTGTCCATAGACGAGTACAAGTCATTGTCCACAAAACCTTCGTCCTGTGATTTGTTGACGGTAGCGTACAGGGGAGTCTGGTCGTTCTTCTGTGATGTCTGGTCCTGTACTTCTGTGGAAGGAGACTCCCTGGGTAGAGTGAAACAAACGCCTGATTACGTAAATTAAACAGTAACTATTGGACTTCTTGCACGAGGGATTAAAGAGGCCATCTATATCAGGGCATTACAACCATCCCTCAACAGAGACGGGGGCGCCACAGACTTTCTGCAACCTATGATCCACTGCTCACGGAGTCACGTGTGTTATCTGCGTGACGTCACGGAAGCGGTGGATTGTTCATTCCTTGACAAAGACTGGAGTTGTACAGTCGAAAATTTGGGTGAGTCCAATTTCTTGTGTTGGAAATTACAGTTTAAACTTGCTGCATAGTAACTATTGGAGTCATAGAATACGCACAAAATAACTCGGTAAGTGCAATAATTTGTTCAGCAGACAGCAGTGAAAGAAGCTCTGAGGAAAGAGTGATGAAAACGTCAAAATGTCATCAAAATGATCATCGTAAAAAGCTAACCCGATTCCTGCATAGAGGTCGTTGTCGACGAAGCCATCTTTGTCCTGTGATTTGTTGACGTGAGCGTACAGGGGAGTCTGGTCGTTCTTCTGTGATGTCTGGTTCCACTGTACTTTTGTGGTAGGAGATTCCCTAGGTAGAGTGAAACAACGCCTGATTACTTAAAGAAAACAGTAAATATAAGAATACGTACACGTAAGTGCAACATTTTGTTGTGCAGACAGCAGTGAAAGAAAAACTAAAAAAAACAATAATGAAAACAAAATGTCGTCAAAATTATTATCATAAACACCTCACCTCACTTCTGCATAAAGGCTGTTGTTGACAAAGCCATCTGATTGGCCAAAAGAAACTCCTCCGTCATCCTCATTGGCTGAGAAGGTTGCTGAGTCGTATATGATGTTATCAACGGTTCCTTCTCCTTCCTCATTGGTGGGTCCCTTCTCAGAACCGTTTGTGCCTCTCCTGTTGAAATGTGATTTAGATTATACATCAACAAAGTAGGTAGTACATTTACATGGATTTCTCCGTACCAAAATGACGTACTGTTTACTTGGCATATGCTATGAAACAAACTAATGACACCTTTAGAAAAAAAATGCAAGTTAACTCGACACGATAATAAGGAAGTGACCTTTAAGCAAACAAGAGTTCAAAGTCTGTTACAAAAAACAACGCTACATGACGACGAACAGTTACAACAACGTAAAACTTTACCTGACGTTACAACCGTCCGCAAAAGGCTGAGTTTGAGCAGGATTTGTAGGATTATTTCCAACGGTGGTCTCATGGTGGATCAAGGAATATACATATGCGTCGAGCAGGTGGCTTCACTTCTCCGATTTTGAGGAAGTAACCTGCTTGATCATTGGTGCATGACAAACAGAAGCCACGTGATCCAGCTTCACGTACGGAACATTCCATTGGCCATAGAGAGAGGTTCTTTCCGATAGCGCTGGGGAAGTTTCAGCTACTCCGGTTACTACAAGTCCTCACAGAGAATCTTTCCGAAATTTATATTTGAGGTAAAGGAAATCGTTGTTGTAGAGGTCAATCTTGGGGTAGTGTGGCGTAGCGGTAGCGTCTTCGGCCCAGACTCGAGAGGGCGAGGGTTCGAATCCTGCCCGATGCCACCGATCTTGTGCCCTTAGGAAAGGCACTTAATACGACTTTCCTCACTTCACTCAGGTGTAAATGAGTACATAGCTTCGGTTAGGGACATCCCTCAGATAGGACGTTAAATGGAGGTCCCGTGTTTGGGAGAGCCACACCCCACATACGCTAAAGAACCCACCGCACTTATCGAAAAGAGTAGGGGACCTTCCCGGTGTGAGTGGTTCAAACCTTACAGTCTGGTCTCAGGTTTTACATCTTTGAAGAGGTGATAGTCACCTGTTATGTCAATACTTCCATAAATGTGGTAAATCGTCATAAATAAAATAAATAAATAAATAAATCTGTCGCATCAATGCATTATAAAAGCATTACACAACATATGATATTGCGATCCGTAGACCAGTATTGCATCTTTATTCAATAGATTCTTTGTGTGACAATGCGATTCAATAAATCATAGCAGCGACATATACAACACATGTTAATTGAACATAGAATTGCCGAATTACCTATACGGTTTCCAAACAAATTGAACAACGGTCATCACGATATGTACAGTGTTTACGCAATAATAGCTTCATGCTTTCACACACATATATGATCACGTAAAATAAGATATGCAAACATAACTTTGGTCGATCATATTTCCGTGGATAATCTATTACGTTGACTGTTTTATACACATCAAGAGGCTTGGTCATTACTATCTAAATGGTATTTAATTTGTTATGATTGTACATTTAACTTTATTATGAGACGAAACATTTTGTCGTCCATATTCTCAACTCAATTATCAACTTTGGCTAGCAGCATGGTCTGAGATCTGGTTTACACTTTGGAGAATGAACTAATTATGTTATGATTGTGATCATGTTTTTTCAGCAGTAGATATCATTCTCCACGACGCCTTCATCAGAAGTGTGCGCTACGTTGTAATACACGCTATCCTGGGCGCTGTCATCCCCGTCATAATGTCTTGTCTCCAAACATGCGTCCCTGTAAAAAAAAACACACAACATTGAAGCTTGTGGGGTCGTGTGGCGTAGCGGCAGAGCGCTCGACTCGGAATCAAGAGTTCCCGGGTTCGAGTCCTGACATGCCACCGATCTTGTGCCCCTGGAAAAGGCACTTATCACGACTTTCCCCACTTCGCTCAGGTGAAAATGAGTATTGTACTGTGCCCTGTGTTGGTGGCGATTAATATAAGTTTTAAAAAACTTGAGTGTGCCGTCACCACGTCTTGTGATTAGATGTTGGAATATAAAAAAAACCTAGAACTTAACGTGGTCAAGATACTTCAAAGATACTAACAATAAAATATTACTTATAGTGAAATCTATTTTCAAAATCGCATCTTACTCTGTTCCAGCGTATAGATGGTTATCCACCGTTCCCTCTGATTGGTCAATTGGAAGAGTACCGTTGGTAGTACTAGTTCCCGCGTATAGATGGTTGTCTACCATTCCTTCTGATTGGTCAATCGTAACATTGCCGTTGGTGGCTCCCGGGTAAGCGTATAGATTGTTATCCACCATCCCTTCTGATTGGTTAATTGAGACATGGCCGTTGGTAGAAGCGTTGCCATTGGCTGCGAACGCAACCCCACCGTAATAGATATTGTCTACAGTTCCTTCGCCAGCATGGGAAGACGTTTCTTTTTCGTCTGTATTCTTTGATCGTCGCCTGAAAGAAGAAAATGAAGTCTCAATACAGTAACAAGCCTCCGTGATTCAATATAAAAAGTTGATAATTCATTTTAAGTGTTGGGTGAATTTATGCACTTAAAGAATTACAAAATGGACCTCGATTTTATCCCCATACTTAAACAGCTTTATGTATGCCCTCAGTGTATGGCTACAAGAATCCTATGTGGCCGTGTCTTTTACATGATGCCATATCCCAAATATTAATGTTGAACTAACCGTCTGAAGTAAAGGATGGAAGCAGCGACTGCTATGATGACGACTACAGCTACAGCTGCTGCTGCACCACCAATGATGGCACCTGTATGTAAAAACAAGCAAACAAAACAATTAATTAGAGGTGTCCTTCCAGAAATTACGGTCCTTAACACACATATATGTTTCTCAGACTATTAGGTTAAAGTTAGTTGTTGATAGTGTTTTCCTTACCTGGTACGCCAGCTTGGTTGGCTACAAATCCATCACTGTTTCCACTGGAATCTAGGAAAAGAGCGAAGGGAAGCTGAGATGATGGTCACAGAACGTACGAATCATTGTTACCCGATTATAAAGCCACTGGACATGTAGAGATGAGCAATCATGACTGAGTACCAATATGCACTATTACGCTACGCCATTGACTCAGAGTATCCTCATAGAGAGTGTAGGTAGTACTATAATTTACTTACTGAAGTATGACGACGTCGGTGACACGGTGAGAGATGGACGGGTCGATCTTTGTGGAACCGCAGACGTAACGCCCTCTGGGGTGACAACTGAACTTTCCCTCGTGGAACTTATTACTGAATACGTATTTATTCTTGTGCTTTGGGATGTCCGCATTTTCGTTGTCATTAATAATGTGGAAGTTGCGGCTGTGGCCGTAGTTGTAATCTGTGTTGTGGTTGCTGCCAAATATAGTAAATTGTAAATATCAGTTGAACTCTATTAAAATTATTGTAGTGGTATCGTTGACCTTGCAATATTTTTCTGAAGCTTATGCTACCTGTTCACCTATAGGGATAAGGAGCCAAACAATGATGAACGACAGCCTCCTGTGCAGGCCCCGCGGCGGTGGGGAAGAGTTTTTACCGCGTTATTTTAATATAGCCGGCCATCCTACATAGCCGCCGAGAGAAGGTTTTATTCCGCCCACGGGAATGGCCGGCTATGTTAAAATAATGCGTTAAAAACTTCCCCACCGCCGCGGGGCCTGCACAGGAGGCTATATTTATGTGAATCATATCCACTCTTTACACTCGTTATGTTAGTTTTAAAGTAGATATAGTAAGTTAAATAAGCAGACCGTATAAGTAGAACTCCATGTTAGCATAATTATAGTCTTAAATTCACCACATTGTTTTTGTCAATGTCTGTTTGCGCAATTAGCCCTCGGGCACGAACTTGCAACAAAGAACTCATTTGTCAAAAGATCCTACATATCCTTCCGCAAGAGAAAAATTCATTACCTTGTAGCTCACATCCAAGGAGCTCCAAACGAAACGCAATTCCACTCTGCCATGCAACCGCTTTCAGTCGGATGAACCTTGACCTTATTGGAGGGTCAATGTTGTTTGTCTTCATCTCATTTCCATCGCTGTTACCTGTAAAGATCTTTAAAACATCACGTCAAATCTAAGCTAATCATTGCGGACTATGTAGAGGTGTTTCAATGTTACGTATTATTCCATTTTAAAATTCATAGTATTGCAAAAAGGAACTAAGATCGCAGTGTATTACTTACCTTCTCTCTTCCGTCATCCTGAATAGTGTTCCAAGCTTCCCCATCGTCAGAGTATGATAGTTTGAAAGATTTCACATAGCGATGGGTACTAAATTGCGCAAGCACATCTCCTTGAGTTTGAATCCCCGTTATAGACGTCCTCTTAAGCAGATCGACCTGTAGCCACTCATTTTGATTATAGCGGCCTGGGTACCAAGCTCGATTGTTGTAGAGACGAGCTTCGTTTGGACCCCAAGAACTGTTGTATGAAGACGAGGCCCTCAACTGACTGTCTGTTATATCCCTTGATACCATGCCAAGAGGAGATGAACACTCTGAAAAAAGAAAAGGAATCTTTCTTCAAATGTTCATGTGATGTATCTAGCCCTGTAGACAACTACAAAGGTACAAATCGTCATTATAAACCTGGCAACCATCACCATCACGGGTACTAGGGATCTAAAGGGGCAAAGTCCTCGCCTGTATCAACATTGTATACAGAACTAGAACCTTATCTTTTTGGCATATACAGGTTGTAAATTGGGAACTTGAACAGAATTTCGTATACATATTTGTAGAATTAAAGCTACCGTAACATATGACGTCAGGCATGGTGAGGTGAAAATTTCATACACCTTTAATACACATACACATACATGTTGCTCTTGCCCTATAAATGTGTGAACGTCAATGGCGACGACTAAATACCAATCCTACGGCTAGGTCATGGCGGTCAAAACAAACTTGGAGCTGACGAAAACTTAAAACTCATGAGACAGTGTTGTAATGTCTAACTCTAAATCCTGGTCTAACTTCTAACTCCTGGTCAGTTTGTTCACTGTATACATATACGTAATGATGGGGAAGTGACTGAAAAACACGCCTGGTCAAAGTCTGATTCTGTAAGTGTTAAGTGCCAAGCTTGTGCAGAACACAACAAACAACACTACGTTACGGTTACAGCAAACGTACCTGTCCCTAGAACCATTCTCACAGTGCTGGCTTCTAGCAGCAGTAGTAGGATCATTTCCAGCAATGGTTTCATGGTTGAGCGAGGCCAAAAATGTGTAACGTAAGTGTTTCGAGTCGCTTTGTACGAGTTTGAGGAAGTACGTTCCTCTGACACACACCTTACATGGCAAACTAAAGTCAGGTGATGCGAGGTCAGGGAGGGAATGTTCCATTGGATACACAGACCTAGGGGTCACCGACGTATACGAGTCAATATATTGGCTTAAGGATAGTGGTTAACTATTACACGAGTATTAGAGAACAGGCTGAACCCACTCAAGTATACTTTGGTAACAGAGAGAGGTTCTGTCCGATAGCGCTGGGGGGAAAGTTTCAGCTACTCCCTTGCTACAAGTCTTCCTTTCTTTCCCGAAATTTATACATGAGGAAAAGGAAAACGTTGTTGTAGAGGTAAATGAATTACACAACTCATGACATTGCAATCCGTATACCAGTATTGCATCTTTATTCAATATTTTCTTTGCCTGATAATGCGATTGTAAGTAAGTAAGTAAGATAATGCGATTGAATAAATCATGGCAGTGACCTATACAGCATAGGACATGTTAATTAAACAGTAGAATTACGTATACGGTTTTCAGACAAACTGAACAACGGTCAACACAATATGTACAGTATTTACATAGTGATGGCCCCATGCTTTAACATACATGCATGCATGATCACGTAAAGAAATTATAAATTGTGGAAACCTAACTTTGTTCATGTATATCACCGGTGCACCGTGGATACTTTGTCGCGTTGATAAATTTACATATCATCAAAAGGCTTGGTTATTGCTATTTAAATATTATCTTATTTGTTATGATCATACATTTAACTTTGCAGTGAAACAGTTTGTTGTTCATATTCTAAAACAACTTCGGTTAGTAGAATGGTCTGGTTTATACTTTGACGAATGAAGTAATCGTATTATAATTTCAGATAACGTGTTTTTCAGCAGTAGATATCATTCTCAACGACGCCTTCATCAGAAGTGTGCGCTACGTTGTAATACACGCTATCCTGGACGCTGTCATAATCTCTTGTCTCCAAACATGCGTTCCTGTAAAAAAACACAGCAGTTAAGTCAACTAGAATTCAATGTGGACAAGATATATACTTCAAAATCTGCCTGAAACAATAAAATATTACTTATAGTGAATCTGCCTGAAACAATAAAATATTACTTATAGTGAAATATACTTTCAAAATTGCACCTTACCCAGTTCCCGCGTATAGATGGTTATCCACCGTTCCCTCTGATTGGTCAAATGGAAGAGTACCGTTGGTAGTACTAGTTTCCGCGTATAGATGATTGTCCACACTTCCTTCTGATTGGTCAGTCGAACTGGAATTACCATTGGTTGGTCCCGAGTAAGCGTATAATTGGTTGTCCACAGTTCCTTCTGATTGGCCAATTGATACATTGCCGTTGGTAGAAGCGTTGCCATTGGCTGCGAACGCAACTCCACCGTAGTAGATGTTGTCTACAGTTCCTTCGTCAGCCTGGGGAGACTGTTCCTTTTCGTCTCTAGGTTTTGATCGGCGCCTGCAGAAGCGGAAAACAGCTGAATTTATATTTTTGAAACTGTTTTTCGCTCAAAATGGTAATAAAGATATCCCTATTAAACTCCCAATAAGAGTGTCCAAACGACATCCGTCTTTGATGTCCTGTTGCACTAATAATCAGTTATAGGCATATCGTAGCCCTGGAAAGATCGCACTTCCAAGATAACACTTTTTTCATAGTAGAAACAGGTACAGTTTCCTATACATTACAATTCATACCGATACGTTAACTAACCTTCTGATGAGGAATATGGAAACAATTATCGCTATGATGACAACGACCCCGGCCGCTGCTGCACCACCAATGATGGCAACTAAGTGTAAAAACAAACAAACAAACAAACAAATAAAAAACAAAACAAACTAGAATTCCGAGATTTCATACCTCCATGAAATATGATCTTGATATGTAAATGTAAATTTCTTCTTTAATTGTTCAAATGACCTCTGCATTAACATGATATATGCATCGTGATGTATGTTAACTTTTGATTAATTTACAGATGTCCCAAGTATGACATTCTCATCATTCACCATTACGAAATCATAGAATTTTCACATTAATTATGCAAATTAGGTCATCATTTGCATAATTAGTATCTGTTGAAGTTCCGCCGCCATAGGTTACATAGTATAATGTAAAACACTGTAATTATAGAATTTCCTCATTAATTATGCAATTGCAGAACAAGCCGCTAGGGGGCCCAAACTCATATGACTTCTTTCCAAGCACGAGAGCTACCTTCCATCAAAATTCATGACCCTAGCATGTCCAGATCGTGAGATATCAAAACCGGAAGTTGCGCTGCAGTACCAAGGGAAGCCACTAGGGGGACCAAAATCTCATCATCTCCAGTTTTCGTCACACCCTACCAACACACCAAGTATGAAACCCATCCATCCAGGCGTTCTTGAGTTATCTTGTTGACCAACAGACAGACGGAAGGACGGACAGATAAACGCAACTGAAAATATAACCTCCATGACACATTTCATGGAGGTAATTAGATGAAATTAGAGCAA